GGACCCAAAAAAAAAAAACAAAAACAAACAAACCATACAATGAGAGACTGAAGGATTGGGCCTAGCCACTCTCAGATAACTTGTTGCACAAAATAATACAGTAAATGGCACCAAGACAAACCAAATATGGCAAATTGGGGACTTGGCCAAGCCAGTTTTGCCCTGACCAGGAATAAGGATGATAGAAAATAACTCAAATCTCAAAAATAATGTTAATAGATTTTTTTCCCCTCAAATACTGGGGACTGAACCCAAGGCCTCACACTTGCTAGACAAGATAAATAAATAAAAATAATTAAAGAGGGAGAGAAAGAGATTGTCTTATCACATAGCTAGGCTGACCTTGAACTCATACTCCTTTGTCTCAGCTTCTCAAGTGCTAGGATTACAGGGTGTACAGATATTTTTAAAAAATGCAACTCCCTTTCCAGATTGAAGGACTCATTCTCTTGTTTTTGTACTCACAGGCAGTTTAGTGAGCGGTGCATTGCTGACATGTTTGCCAAAAACTTCTTCCTGAAATTGTAGCAATTGTACAACCAGGCTAGACAGAGACTTGTTGGTTGGTGGTTCAGCTTGTATATACTAGGGAAAAGAGGGAAAGGAAAGAAAAAACAGGCCCCAGGTAAATTTTCTTGTATCATCCCCCATATATCTTGCCCAGGGGCTTTGGAATCACCTGGGCAAAGAAACAGTATCTTCCTTCTCCCCTTGTCTCTATAAAGATGACAGAAGGGAGGCCCTGGAAATCCCCTTCCAGAAAGCTGAATTCTGCTGCCACCAGCCCAATTTGCCAGCTTTGGGTGCTGGCAGTAAGGGAAGCTTCCTATTCTTCCTCAGCTACACCCTCAAATTGCAGTTGTAGGACCCTATTATCTTGGAATCTGATCTCCAGCCAAAAGCACTGAGAGTTGTAAAATTCGGAAGGTTTATGGAGCTCAGGCCAGGGAAGCAACACACCTTCCATTGAGGCAGGTTTATTTCTTAGAGTTACTTTGTGGAAGGCCATGATACCCACTATAATGATGCCTCCTTAAGAAAAGGGCAAGCAGACTCAGAAACTAAGCTTGTGCATTTTGCCCGTTAGAACTCAGCATAAATGCTTTTGTAGGCCTTTCTAGATGAGAAGGACCATCTGCTAGGCAGCACGATGAAGAACAGCAAAGCAACATCTAGCTTTTCCCAGGAAAACTGTATCTAAGACAGGCCTTCTTAAATGTTTTCATACTATGATCTAGCATCCTAGCCTTCAGTTCCAATTTTTAAAACTGAGCCAGGAGGCTAACTTTCTCTTTACCTTTTGACCCTTATTTCCACTATCCTAATCACAGAAAAAAGCCAGCACCTCTCAGTGGGAGGTGTAAAAAGATCTGTGAAGAGAAAGGTGAATGACAAAAGAGAGCCAAAGCATAAAAGTGGAAGCAGGCCACGCGCTGCCAATACCCCCAGGGCCACAGACTAAGCCCCTAGATTGAACTCCCTTCAAAAGGTCAAAGGTAGAAAAGCCTGGGAAACAGCCTCATGCTGGGGTAATAGACAAGTCAGAGACCCAGCAGCTGTTTGTCAGAATTCTAACACCCCGAGAGACCCCAAGCAGTTGCCAGGGGAAGGCTCCAGACTAGGATCAGAGGGGAGTTCTCCTAAACACACTTTTGACAGGCTGCAAAGCTGGCCAAGAAAAATTGAGGAGAGATGGAAAGCTAGGAAAAAGAACCCCTAAAACAAGGACTAGTGAAAAGGTAGTGAGCAGACCAGTTCTAGCAATATTCCAGGCCTGGAAACAAAGAAGACACCAGGAGGACGTTTTGTAGAAAAGACAGGTAAGGCTTCTTGAACCCTTTTGTTCACTACGTTATTATTTCCAGTTTAGGGGGGAGGGGACAGGAGGGTATGGTAGTAGAAATACGGAGCTCACCCTAGTCTTTTATGGACCCCCCCAGATGCAAGGCAATGCAAGGCTAGGCTGCAGGGTGACTTTATGGTGGAGCTGAGGCACGGTTTGGGGGAAAAGGACTGTTGCCCAGGAACTCCTATACCCTGTTCCCCCAGAGAGGTTTGGCAGCCCTTTATATGGAGATGGAGAAATGGGTGCCCCACCCCACCCGGAGACAGGGATCTGGGGTCGCCTCTGTCAGGCTGATGAGCAGCCCACGGCCTGTACCTTCTCCACGGCCGTTCACCCTCCCGCTTTCCTCATCTTGTCTCTGAACGTATATACACAAAGCACCAGGGAGGCCTTTAGCCCGGCTGGTACCTGGTTCCGTGGGGGAAGCCTCTGGCGAGCACCGTGGCGGGCGCCCGCGGGACCACGGCCCACCCCGGCCCGCCGTCCGCCTCTCCCGTAACAGCCAGGCTGTGCGGGCGGGTGGGCTGCGGGCACGGCCGGGCGGGGAGTGG